CTGCCCCCCCCACTTGTCCTGTCTGTCTTCAGCTGTCACTATAATAAAGGCAAAAGCCCAAAAAATATACAAAAAAAAAAAAATGGATGACATGACATCTCTCCAAAAGTGAAGCCAAAACATCTGAACCGCCCCCTGGTGGCTGACTGCAGTATAGGTTATAAAGTCTGCTGCCTCCATATTAACAGACAGGACATGGGCCAAACAAAAAAAGTACACGTCAAATCAATTTTTCCCAAACATGGTTTCTGGCAGTGTTAAATTTTCTGGTAAGGGTTTAATTAGTTATTTGAAGCTATAAAAAGGGGGTTTTCATGTCATGATTGACAGCTGAGCCATGCTTGCGATCGAGTCAGCCGGGCGTATGTGTGAGACCTCAATACCGTGGCGCCAACCCAATGACAAAAGATGACAGCAGCCGTATCCAGGATATTTTGGCGTCATTTTTTGACATCCATCATTTATGTCGGTGGTTGCGATGATAAAGCGAGGCCAGTTTAAAGACTGCAGCATGTTAGCTTATACAGACACACATACACACACCATTCCATACATTCTATGACACACCAGGCTACAGTTTAAATTGCTCAGCATCATAGCTCAATGTTTTTTCATCATGAAAAAGTGTGGATTCTTCAAGTACTCCCTTTTAGGCTCCTGGCTGTTCCAGAAAAGCCAAGAGTAGAAATCAATATGTGCACATACAGTACAAGCAGAGAAAATGTGAGACACACCGTTACTCCATGCCTGGAGCAGTGCTCCTGTGTTTTCAAAGGTAAGGAGGAAACCCTGGAGGGTTTGTATAAATTTGACAGATTCTGTTTGTATGTACTTGAAAAGAGAAGAGTTTTTATTGTACGATAACCTTGGTTTAGCTTCCTCTGTCATTAGTATAATCACACAGAATGATGTCTTGCCACCTTGCCTTGCATTACACCAGCCCCTGATACATATAAGGATTATAAAGAAACTCTTTAAGTTATTATCAGTGCAAATAAGTATCAACTTTAGTTTGTCCAGGTTCAGATCAGCTGTACAGAAGCTGGCACCAAGCCCTATTTTTTGTATCTTAAAAGAAAATCCCTGCAAAGACACCACAGAGTCAGTGAGGTTATCTTGCTGTCCAGCCTAGTTTCTCTGTTTTTAAATTATAAAAAAATCACATGGAGCAACCATCAAAGTAGAAAAGGCCAAAGCTCGATGAAAGGGGAAAGGGTAGACTGGAGCAACCCTGCTCCCTGCCCTGCCACTGCAGCTAATTTACGCCTGCGGTGGAAGTCCATTATTGTCACTTTTGTTTATTTGGGACACTAATGTGCAGAAATGGCAATTAGAGAGCCACAAAAAGCACTCAGCTGGATGATCCCCCACCCCCCTCGTCAAAACTAAATTGCCATCTGTGGACCTCCGATCTGATTGAATCGGGGTGTCCTGAAATGCCTCCCTGTGAGCACCTACATATAGTAGGTGTGACTGTTGGATGTTGGTTCAAATTTGGTTTACCTCAAACTCTGTTTTTTTTTAGCTACATGTACATCAGTCCACTTGTTCTCGCTATGGTACGTGAGCTGCTTCTAGTGGTACACAGAGGAATCTGAAATATTTTTAATGAAAATAGTAAAACTATGAGATTGGTGAAATGTAATTTAAAATAAGTTTTGCGTTTCCTGTAATATTTAGTTTCAATATCAGCCTGCTACGTAGTCACGTTCATGCATGTATACATCCATTTAGTTACGAGCTAAAATTTGATGGTAAAATAGAACTCTCTTCTTGTTTTTAACACCTCGGATCCAATATTTCCTTTTTCTTTTTCTACTTCAACTACTACTTATTGCGTCACAACACAATTTCATACTGTGAATGTCACAACAAATAGAATAATACTACAATAATAATCTGATTCTGTGCAAGGTTTCTGTCCGTAACAAATTGAATCAGATGACGGATTAAAAAAACAAATATGAAAAATATGGACTTGATGTGAAAATGCCTTAAGAGTGTGATGCCTGGTTTGCCATAACCATAATCAAGTAAGTGGACCTTGAGATTGCTTTGTCAACTGTTATTTCCAAGGTCATGATTTTGAGCATGAACTTTTTCTAACCTTAACAATACTGTAATTCCCCCGAGCAGACATTGCAGAAGGGGAGATTTTTTTTTTTTCAAGTTGGCATTGGATGTAAAAAAAAAATAAATGAAAATGTAATTGAACTGGGTTTTGTTGCAGGGAATTTACAGTCTTAAAAATAATTTGGGAACCAACAGGCCTTCCCATGCAGCAACAGGAGGGTAGGGGGGCCCGGTTAACTCAGTGGGTAGAGCTGGCGACCCATGTACCGAGGCTAAGTCCTTGCTGCAGCGGCAGGCAAGGCAATGAAAAGCCTAAAAAATACTTAAAAAAAAAAAACAGAGGGGTAACGTGAAATTGGACCCAAAATGGAACTGGGTTTTAGAAGCAAGCAGTCAGGAGATATTCATTTACCCTCAACATCCAGTGTAACTTTGAGCCAACTGTTTTCCCCCAGTCTGCTTGCGCAGTCAATAGACTCAGCCACTGTCTGTGATATAGATAGGAGGTTATTGATAGAAAATGTCCCCCTGAGAAGTTTCACTTTGCTCAGTATCTGCTATGTCCCCTTATCTCTGCATCCTACTGTGACCTGCAATCATTTATCTTTTCCGTCTATGAATGTACATTAGAGCCCATTCTTTGTCTGTTTTCCATCTGTCATATTTGGTCCTGCCAAAAAGTCTCTGGGCATCTATCTGTCTGCCTGTGTCCACACTGGAGCTTTAGGAACCTGTTGTATGGATGAACCAGTTCTCTGGCCTTCCCCAGCTGTTGCCTGGATAGTAAATGCTCTCTAGGGTAAAAAGCAGCAAATCGAGCAGTTTCCTGTAATGCTTTTCAAGCCAGCTGTTCTTCCAGTGCAAAGGAATTATGAAAGCTGTAGTAATACTTTTTGCATTTTCTTTCTGTCTGAACTTGTCAACCGCGAGTTTTAGAAACAGCACATAGTTGCAAGCTGAGTTACAAATGGAAGTCATAGTGGTTGGTTGGTTTGATTCTTGATCTATCAGAGGCTTTAATTAGAGGTTTTCCTTAGCATTACACTTTACACACTGTTTGTACCATGGTTAGGGCAGGTAAAGGCTCAGTCAGCTGAGGACATGTTAGATAACGTTGTTACTCCTATTACAATGATCCTTCAGTGTAGATACAGGTTATTTATTGTCTTCCAAGATGATTGGTTTGTGTCTGGATTGACACAGAACACTTTTATTCATTCCTCTGTGCAGCTATGATTTGCATTTCTAGTCTGTAAAGGTTTGATTGAATGAATGTGTATGCAGACCCTGTTCAAATAAATAAGATTACTACTCATTGATTTACATACAAAATTGACATTAAACAATCAAATGCTGTAACGTAAGTCTAAGACAGTTTTCACTTTTTGGTTATTGGATACTTCTTGTGCCCATTGTAACCAGATTTAACATGATGACACATGCAGACGGTCTGGATTATAATGGCAGCTGCAACATTCAAGGAAAAGCCTTGGAGCTAGCCTGAAGAGACTTTCAGTTTATCAAATTATATTAAACTGCAAGCCTTGTGTAAATGGACTAGAATATTTTAGAATTGTAATGGGATTTTTAAAGGAACAGCCTCTATCTTCGTTTAATGGCGAGTCGTATGAGAATGTTGGTATCAGTGTTATTTCTGTGCATCAGTTAGTATAATGCAATGCAGTTCAACATCACCTCAAACTACATCCTCCAGAATGACCATACAGTTTAATCAACACCAAAAATTAAACATTATAACCTTCACAGAGACACGATTTATTGCAGGACTGTTGTATTAGACCAGTGGCTCTCAGCATTTTTTGTGTCAAGGACCCCCCAGATCAGGATGTGGACCTTTATTTGACAAGATGTAGTTCTATAGTAGCTAAATTGCCTGCACGGTTTCAAGGTTGTCCCGCTGGATACACAACAACAGTTACCAAATAGACCTTAAGGTAAGATTGCTTTGTAAACCAAGTTGTATTGTTGCTCTCTTCTTCCACTACTGGTATTATTGAGAAGATACACCCAGAAAAGGTAGAGGCTCAGGTGGTATAGTGGGTTTTTTAATAATTGCTTTCAGGCTCCCTGAGTCCAGCCGATGTGTCCTTGGGCAAGATAATGGATCCCAATTTGCTCCCAACGTCTGCTTTGGATAGGAAGCACTATGAAACGGTAAATCATATCCTGAATATGATCAAAACCAGGATTAAAATCAGTTGCAACTATTATGTCCTATCATTTAGTTTTTCTAGTGTACTCCATGCAACCCCAGTGTTGAATGTGTGTTACATGTGTGTGTACAGCATTTGCCTGTATGCATTTCTGATGAACCACAGGGATCATGTGTCTTGCAATATCTTTAAACTTCACTCTGCTTTGCCTCAGCTTGACTGTCTGATTGCAGATGAACTCACGCTGCTATGAATCTAAAAGTTTGGGCTTTTAATTTGCTCTGTATCTGAAAAACACAACAATCAAACATTGTGAATAAAAAGTCTGCAATCAACACCCTAGGCCTGACATTTCTGAAACCTGTTAAGTTGTGTAAACTGGTTTTCCACGTTTGACCACTAGATGTCTCCCTACACAGAGTCAAAATGTTAAAAGGGCCATAACATCTGAACAGTCTGTCTGCTCCATTTGAAAAACTGGCAGCACACTAATAGCTGCATCCTTGAATGCCCCCTGATATGCAAACAGAGGCATCAGAAACCTCTTTCAACCAGTTTTTATCAAGCTGAAGAGGCTGATTGCATCTAATTAGTGGCACTTTTTCCTCTTCACACACATATTTAGTTGTCAGAAAATACCTATAATACAAAACCGTTCATTTTAAGATTTTAGATTGAAGTGATGTTAATGTCAGCTATTATATAAGCAATACACTCAGTGATCGATGGTTTCTTGGCTCTGTGTTCTGCTAGGTAGGTACATAGATGTCTGAGGAGGCTCTGAGGATGACGGCTTGGCCCTGAACCCCACCAGTATGTCAGGTAAGATGTCTGGCCCGATTACCCGAACACACACTCACAGCCTCATACCCCCAGCTTTATTCCAAACAAAATTTATAGGGTGCAAATATACTTTAAAATTGCTGATAGCTTATATTCAATACCCAATATTCACTACATCTAAATTTGACCTTTCATGCCAAAAAAAAGTATTCCATGCTTCCCTTGAATTATATTCTTGTCAGCGACAGCATGTAGACTATCATGGGACATTTGGTCTTCTTTTAGTTTTTAAACCTAAGTCCGGGAATATAAATGCATTACATCTGTCAGTTAAAATCAGTTGAGAGCCTTTATACATGATCAGTGGCAGAGTCACTTTTCGGCATCAAGAGGCCTAACCTTGCGGCAGTGCAATCGTAAGCAGGAAGTGCGCGAGGGTCCGATACTGTCTGTAAATTTTGTCATCAGAGGATGTACGCACCAATTTGTTGTGAGTGCATGGACTCTAAAACTTGTACATAGCCGTGATGTCCACATTTGGGAGTATATTCAAGCCTTTAGTTTTGATTGTACACCTCAACTCTATGCTCAAAATTCAGTCAGTTTCAGCTTTGACATTTAGACCTTTGTGTTTCGTCAACTGCTGTTTCCAAGGTCTACAAAACACTGCCTCTTTAGAACCAACATGAATGAGTCCTGGAGGTGCTTAAAATCGAGGAAGTTGGAACCTTAACAGTTCTATGACGTGTGGAAACTCAATATGCTGTTGGAGAACCTGTAATATGGTCAAAAGCTCCAGAACAAGCAAGTAGGTCAAACAAGTCAGTGGCTGTTGCCGAGCTCAAGAGGGAACTTTTAAGCTCAGCTCTGACCTTGTTTGTCAGTGACCTGTCTACCAATGAGATGGCAGTCATTTTTAGATTTTCTTCAACTGTAGAACCTTAGTCGTACCAAAATCTTGACATAAGGACTACAGAATGTCAGCAGTCATAGCACTACTGCATTTGTTGTTAGCAGACGTTACACAACGATGCTTTCTGGCTACCTGAGGCACATTGATGGCATAAACCTCTTCTTAAATTCTTCTTTAAGTTAAAAGGTGAATGTGCGATTGTTCAGAGACATTCACGTGGCTGTTTCCTTTATATTATACAATATACTTTACACACAACTTGTACAATATATTTGTCTCCCGTCAGGGGCAAAAAAACAATCAGCTTGCTTCACTTGCAGGTGTACAAAGTGTGTTATTGGGATTTGGGAGGTGTGTGCATCAGCTCTGAGCTCTGTTGGTTCATAGTAGGGCAGCATCTGTCGATCATTTGCTTGATTAATCGATTAGTTGTTTGGCCCATAAAAAATGTAAATCAGTGTTTCTCAAAGCCCGAGGTGACGTACTCAACCCAAGATATTCAGTTTACTGAACCATAAAAAATACATTTGAGAGGCTGAAATAAAAAAAATTGACATTTTTCTTAAAAAAATGACTCAAAATAGTTGCCGATTAATTTAATAGTTGACAGTCAACTAATTGCTGTAGCTCTAGTTTGCAGAACGTAACTCCAGCTCTACATGGCGCACAGCTTGTACCACTGATCATGTGTAGAGGGCTATAGAGAAATACCAATACCATTCTAATTTGACTGGTTAGTGATAAGTTGTCACCACCAGAGGACCCCATTTACTGTAAAATGCAGTGAACACTGTCTTCTGGCAGAAAGAAACAACAACTTTTATGATGTGAGGGAACATAAAATCCAGATGAAAATCAGTTTAAATTAACACGTTTGAAAAGATTTTAGCCAAGATTGCAAAAAATTTTAATATGTATATATAATCATCAAGTCTACTGAACAGACATGAAATGCTTTATTCTTTAATTTAATTATTTTAAAGTTACAATTTCTGTTTGAAATTGCCACTGTACACCTCCTTTTCCACATCCTTAGCCATTTACTACCATTTATTCAATGCACAGTACTAGTAGACTTAACTTACACATGTAAACAGCCGTTTAAGGACACATCAAAACTCCAACATGCACATGTTGCTGTCTACAGACAGATTGTCCCATACATTGAACAGACAGTACGTGCCACTCTGTGCGTCTGTTTCCTCAACACAGATAGTGTAGTTTACAAGGCGAACTGGCAGTCACGTGTGGATTTAGCTGGTCCCTGTGACCTGGCTGACCCTGCACATATGCTATCGATCTCAACATAATGAACAGACACGCTTACACGTATCTTCACATAAGGAAACTAACCTGATTCCCTCACTCACTGCATCAACACATTGTGACAAAGTGATGTTTCTCATGCTGTTGTTTTATCCTGCTGTTATTAGCATCTGACTGTTGATTCCTTTGATCTGATGTGAAAAACAGAGCAGCATCAGTCTGCCTCTCTCACCTGTTTCACTGAGCAAGTGGCGTTTTTTTTTTTAAAGTGCCTCTCCCCCTCTATCTTAGAGCCAGCAGAAAAATGCTCCCCCCGCTGGAAAGATGAGGCCATTCAAAATGGTAATATTTATCCTCCCTCTCAGCACTGCTTTTCCTACTCTCTGTCAGTCTGGATGAGCTTTCGAGCACTTGTGATGAATGTAGAGCTTTGCACTGAAAACGGAGGAGCTGCTTCAGATTTTAACCTCCTTCATTTTGCTTTAATGTTGTGAAAGGCCTTGAATGTGATTGATTCTGTTCAGATCTGATAACTCGGGTTGGAGAAATTAAGGGAGAAAGAAATATTTTTCCCTTTCTTGAAAAATCCTTCCTGGTGAATGTTTTACTGAAATCTAATTTAAATACTCTTTTTGTGGAGCTATATGGCAGAATCATGTCATATTTTAATTTCTTTGTATTAATTTTACCTAAGCTAGATTTACCTAAGCTAATAGAGCTATGGTTAAGCTAATTTGGTTGTGCAGGTTGGTAAAATAATATAAAGACCTGCAAATAAAGTGAAATTACTAAAATTATTTATTATATTATAATTTAAAGCTGCAGTACGTAATTTTTATAAACGGTTTTTATAATATTTGTTGAAACATTCACTATATCCTAACAGTAGTACATGAGTCAGATAATCTGCTGGCTCCTCCTAGTGCTCCTAATAGCATTTGCAAAAATCCACCGGGCCTTAAAGACAACAACTAATCAGAGGCAAGAAACATCTCAAGTCTCATTCCCAGGGCATCAAATACAGATGCTTTGGGACTCAACCATCAACTATCTTAAAGCTTCCAACCCAAAGCATCTTTCTATCTTTCTTGCCTCTGATTGGTTGTTTTCTTTCAGGCCCAGGGGTTTTTTGAAAATGGTATTAGGAGCGCTAGAGTGAGCCAGATGATTCTGATATTTTTCACATATTATCTGTCACATATACACTGTCAGGACACACTGAAACTTTTAGCAAATATGACCAAAAGTTATTTTTATAGAAGTTAGATACTGCAGCTTTATTTCCAGTTTTAAAGCACTGTCCAAAATAAATCTCCACTATAGTTATTATTTAATAAGTTATATATGAATAGACAAAAACAGATATTAGAAAATAGATAGTAAAATTAAGGACTTTTGTATTATTAGAAATAAAAACATTAGCAACTTGCTAACTAAAGTAAGTCAAAGCCTGAAATAAATCGTGTGGAGAACTTTATTTTATGGGTCTGTAAGTTCCTAATGCACTTGTAAGAATTTTTCTCAGAAAGGACTGTATGTAATTTGACACTAATTATACATAATTAATAATAGTTGGTTCACTTTGAATGAATTAATTTCAATTAAATACCAAGCTAGAGTAGGAGTCAGTGCAAAACAGTCAGCTCAACGTGCAAAAATGTCAAATCTGCCTACAGGCAAGCATACAGTTCAGCACCTACACACACCATTAAGAATAAAGTCCATCCTTCAATAAAAAGATTTTTTTTAAAAAGAATAAAGTCCAACAATGAATGAATAATGAATTAAAATGTACTTATGGTTGTTCTCTAGAAATACAAAAGACTAAAAAAAAGACCATTTAATGTTTATTTGATACGGACAGATACCGTTTACATAAAAAAATTGCATTACAATTATACAATCCATTTCTAGCTGTAGCTAATTTCCAATGCCCTTTACTAGAAGGGCCTTTAAAATAACAGACATAAAATGATTAATTATCCACTTATTTGATCACTTAGTTCTTTCCAGGATAGTAACTTATTAGGACATTTTAACAAAATACAGGATTTATAGAATAAAACTGAAAATTCACCCAGATTTCTGTTAATGTCATAGTTGTAGTGCAACACGGTTTAGTCTACAGGAACAAGGACAAATTATCTTTTGATAATTTTTTAATAAAATAATGAGATCACTGACACAATAGCAAAAGAAACATTTGATCAATGGGAAGACAAATACGTTCTGGTGGAAAAAGCATCACAGAACAGCCTCACATCACTTCCCTTTAATTGCTGACTACTAACTCACTCATTTGCTTTGTATGACTCAATTAATCAACAGACTAATCACTAATAGTTCTACAGAGCTCTTTACTGTAGGGCAGTAAAGCCAGTGTCAAACAGAGACATTTGAAATTAAATGCACACACACACACAGTCTCTCAGACAAAGCCTCCATTAAGCCTGGCAGCTGTTTTTCACTCTCCACTGATCATTGCTGCATTCAAGGACACTTCATTCAGTGTTGTTACAGCTTCACATGACCTTCCCATAGAGGCCTGGGGAGGCTGTGAATAGACTAGACTCATTTCTGGTCCTCTCTGATGCCTGTTGATATGAACAGATGACCATTTTTCAAATGGTCTCAATACAGTTTAAACTGCCTCAATTCACATGTTACAGTTCACATTTGTTGAGTTTAGAGGGTTCTGAGAGGGTTTTATTTATATACAGCTCGAAGGCACTCTCCAAGTTGATGCTATACGTTAGCAGTCAAATACACTGACTTAAATGTGACTTTGATTAAAATTGCACAGTCCTCCAATGGGAATAGCATACGTAGTAATAATAATAATAATAGGTATAATAGCCACTGGTCTTCTACATCACTACAGTGAGTCAAACAGTGTGGGCCTAATGTCTTTTACATGGATATTGAGGAAGTTTCAATATAATAAGTGTTATAGCAACATAGCGAGCCTCGTTCACATCTTTAACTAGGAAAGAGTTACCAGACAAAGTAGCAATAAAACAATAGCAATATATTTCAGCAATAACACTCAATAGCAAAAAGAAAATTATAAATGTTTAGCCTCGGTCAGAACCACGGTTAACTTTCTCCTTTCCTGTACTTACATATACTATGTGCTAGGTTCGGCTATGTTAAAAAGACAACAAAATTCTGAAGATGGTTAAAAGATAAGAGCTACATAGGCTATATAGTCACATCTTCAGTTAATGTTTGCAAAACACTAGCTAACTAGCTTGCTAATCTCCGACAATTGTTAGCTTGCTCATAAACTGGCGTTTAGCTACAGAGCAAAACATTAGCTAACTAGCTAGCTAATCGCCGTTAATCATTAACTAGCTAGTTAAAAATACAGCAGTAGGTATGTAAGAAATAAAACTATTATACAGTCAATAAATCACAGAAAATATTAATCAGTTGCTGTTTTGAAATTGTCTTAAAAAAAAGAAGTATGGGCGTATTAGGAGTATGGGCTATAAACATAAATGAGACACTGTGAATGCCTTATTTAGCACTTTAAACTCCTTTTCTCAGCTTGTCTTTAAATTATATATACATGAAGCTGTGTTACTGTACTGTAAATAAAACATGCTCACAGATGAGCATCCATGAGAGTCCAGAGGGTCCACTAACAACAGACTTATTAGGGATGAGCAAGTAGCTAGTAGTAGTTACCTAATCTACATTAATTGTTACCTAATGAGTTACATCTGATAGCTAATGTTAACAAAATGCTAGCTAATTAGCGAGCAAATGATTGATGTAGATTAGCTAGCTAGTTAGCCTAAGCTAATTTAAGCTTTCTATATGTAGCTTCTTCTTTTAACCATCTGTGGTCGTCTTTTCAGCATAGACTAGCCTAGCACATAGCATATCTAAGTACAGCAAAGGAGGAAGTTGACCGAGGTTCCTAAAGGGGTGGGATTTAGAAGGGGTCAATAGAATATTGTATAGTTTCACTCAAAAGCAAATCCATTGGTAATGGAGTGTGCCATGGGTGAATGCCTGAAACCACTTCCACCTTTTGGATTGCGCAACATGTCCTCAGTCATGACCTACATCTGTTACATACTGTAAAAGGCGATGGAGATGTACTCTGCAACAATACTCTACGACAAAACATGAACTTTAATATTACCTATGTGCCTTGATGCATACAGTGGTTAAATTAGGTTAAGAAAAAGTCTCAGCAGCTTAGTGGGCAGCAGCACAGGTGGAGATGGCGTCAATATGGCTGATGTCTGAGGCTAATGCAGCCAGCTGTACAGTAAATGTACAGCCAAAAGACAGGAGAGTGCACTTGTAGCCTGTTGTGGTTTTGTACATTGAGTTCCAATTCAAGTTAAATGAGCACAAACCACAACACCCTCTGTTCATTTACTGTGACAGAACAATTGAATATTGTGTTCACTGATAATTATTGTTATTTATCTCCACCTTGCTTGTGGCTTGTGTAAATCCCATCTGTTCTGTGATTTCTTTGAAGATTGTGTGACCTTAGTAAATCCAGCATAATCAGTCTTTGTTAACATACCTCCACTTATTATTTTTCTGATCCTTCATTAAATGCAAATGTAAACACTCACACAAATGACACCAAATTGTGGCTCCAGCCTGTTGCCCCTCTTTGGCAGACACACCAAATGTATCTGTTTGTGGCAGAATGCTTCACACCTGCCCCTGAGGAAGGGGAGCTGAAGCTTCAGTGGATCTTGTTCAGCAAAGAATTTTAGTCAGCTGGTTTGAATCACTATAAACCACGGATGCAGCATTGCAAAAGTGAAATTATTTTAGGTTAAAATGTTTAATCAAGTTGGTAGTTTGAGAATGTCTCGATCAGCTTCAGTTTCAGTGTGATAAGCTCATAGTGATGGTTAGTAATGCCATTGCTAATGTACTGTAAATACTAATTATATCTGCACACAGCGGTCATTTATGTAGTGCTGCTGAAATTATATATATATAATATTAAAATACTTTTTTCCCATTTCACTGAAATAATCTTTTCTTCTATGTTAGCATGGCAAAATGTTTATTTTTATACTAATGCATATTTGGATTACACACAGCTGCTTTGTCACGTAATGAAAAAGAAAAAGAGAGAAGAAAAATAACCACTAACACAGTTTAATCATGTCCATCCGCATAGAGGAGTCTCCAAAAAAACTAAAATAACAAATTAACCAAATTGGCCAAATTACCCACTTAGTACAGCATCTCGTACTGGTAATCCAAAGTAAGCCATTACAGGAACCCATTGGTTTAAAAACATATCTGTCTTTCCATGTAGTTTTGCTGTAATTTCTTTCCATTAAATACACTTTCAA